ACAATGTATGGCTGAAACGTGTTGTGAGGAGTGTTCTGTGAGCAGCAAAATAAATACAACACAGCCTGAGACTAAAATACACACAATTATATTGAACAATACAAACCGGCTCTCTCCATAGGAGAAATTCACAAGCTAAGTACAACTAATTTATCACTAATTATCTGGCTTGCTCCAAGTCTGCAAATCAATGGTATGGTGATCGTCATGGGATCCATCTGAATCCCTTGATAGGTGGATGGGAGACTTCAAATGGGTGTAAAGCACAGACAACCAAATCCATAGTTGTTGCCAAACCCTAATCATTAAGCTTTATGCTTAATCGTCATCTGGGGCCCTCATATCTATTTAAGCTGAAGAGTTTTAACCATCTGATTGGGACATCAGTTTTAGAACTACAATTTAACTTACAAGAGAAACATTCGTTCACCATCCAGACCCTAGCTTCCTATGGGTCCTGTCTCCAGACCCTACCTTTATCCATTATTTAATATGGATAATGGATTTTAGGGTTTGTTTATCAATACAATAGCCACTTCTAGAGGCTGAAGGGTTAAGTAAAAAAAGCCTACTTCAATTATTTCCAATAATGTTTATTTATTCAAGCCACTTGAAAAGTGGAGCAACAAACTCAGTGGGATTACACCCATCAACAACAAAAAAAAAAAAAGCTCAGTGGAATTACTGTTGAGAAATAATTAATAATAATAGGAAAAAAAAGTAGAAAACCTAACCATCATTAACTTCTCAAATGACTTAATCAAGATTAAACACGAATGGACTTGGCTCAGTTTCAGTCCACAATTACCTAAATGGTTTCAAGAATGTCGAAATGTATATATAAAACTGAGGCTCAACCATTTCTGTACTCTTAGTCACTTTATTGGTGCCTACATCTAGAGGCTGCATAGGTTTAAATAAGCAATTAGGGTTTGGGTCATCTCAATGGTCTGTCCCCCATGAAGGGCACAAACCAAAAAATTTCAAAATTCCTAATCTAATCCTAAAGAATTTCAAAAGGTAGAAACGCGAATTGTTTAAAAAACTGGGCCCAACCCTCCAGTCAGACCGTTGAACCAGGGAATGGTTTGGTCTAATCAGGCCTCACATTTATAAGACCTAGATTGCAAGGTTCTAAATATCGATACGCCCGATACGCTGGTAGGGATGTATCGATACTTTTTTTTTTTATATTTTTTCAAAATCGATTCAAGGGGGCGGTTTAAGGTTCCTCCACCCCTTGAACCAGTCAGAACCCCGATACACCCTCTGTAGGAGTGTGTTGGGGTGCTTCCAATACGATACATGCCGATTTTTTGAACGTTGCTAGATTTAACACCAATATTGGATTAATGGCATAGGAATTTGGAATCAAATCTAAATATTTTTTCTTGATACCGTGGTTGATGTGCAAAAGGAAATGAAATACAGGTAATGAAATGCAGGTTAAAGTTAATCACCAAAACTTAAAATTATTTTATCAACATATAAACGGTTAATGTTTTACCGTTAATTTTGTTCATATTATATTATTAAAAATAAAATATTGTTGTTATTATTATAGGTAATTATAGATCTTTAAGTATAATCAGGTCAGATCCGATTGCCTCGATAAATAATTTGGATGATTCTGGGTCTATGATAGAGGAACCGGTTGATAATCAGTTCAAGAAACACCCTGTCCCGAACCAGACTTGAACCATTTACAGATAAAAATTAGTAATCATGCTTATTAGGTTCATTACAAGTATTAAAATAATAGATCGGAGGTGTATGGATTCACTTCCTATTACTCTGCTCCTGTACATATAAGTTAAATGTAGGGGGAATCCCATTGTTTTCCTCTTTATTAATTCAGTCTACCCCTAAGGTGGAGCTAGGATTTTTAAGGGTGGATTGAATCCTGCCCGTTGATTGATGCCAAATTCACTGGTAGGATGAATGTGGTTTATAGAGGGATTATTAGTAGACTAAGAGGGTCCAAGCTAAAATTGGATTGACTTTTGCATCCTTGAATACTTTATTATTATATTATCTTATCTACTAAAAGATAAAACAATAAATTATTCAATTCAGCAACTTCAGCCTTAAGTCAGTTCAGCAGTAACACATACTAAGGAAGCGATTGATGATAATGGCTGAATTAAAAATCTTATTGCTTTGTCTTTTAGTAGAAAATAAATAAACAAATAAAATATTCAAGGATGAAGTAACTACCAAATTTCAGCTTCACCATTAAAAAATACACAACCTCGAAAACTTAGTCACCAAAACTTTTCAGTTCAGCCACTTGAACTGTTAACAAATGGCCCTTAAACCTTACAATCATACATTCAGAAGAAACCATGGCCTGCTTTATACAGGACCGGAGGGAAATGCCTATAGTTGCATACAAATTGCCGTGGGATTCCCCTACAAGTAAAAACTCTACACACTCTGTGACAGCATGGAAATTTTGCGGCATATTGGGTACATCTCTTCATGAATTTGACATAAGTACGGGCAGCACGGTGCATGAGGCTCCCATCAATGTGGGGTTTGAGGAGGGACATGTATGCAGCCTTACCCCTATAGATGCAAAGAGACTGTTTCCAAGATTTAAACATTGCTCACCCAGGTCACAATGGAACAACTCAACCATTGTGCCAAAACCTACCCTTATAAATTTAAGGGAAAATTCCCAATCGGTACCCTATACTTTGGCTCGAGTGATAATTTGGTCCCCGGACTTTAAAATGCGACAATCAAGTATCTGATTCAAAATGTGACAATCCATTAATTGCCGTTAACCAGTCTGTTAATCAACCATTAAGTGACATTTGAAAAGTCAAAAATGTTCTTCGAATGCCATCTAGTTCTCTTTATCAACCATCCAAACGCCGACAAAAAATTGAATAGTCTCAAATCCTAGCCTCTTCTATTAAAAAAAGTTAGTGACTGTTTAGAAGAATCTAGAATTTGGGGCTGTTCATTTTATTGTCAATGTTTGGATGGTTGATAAAGAGAATTAGATGGCATTCGAAGGACATTTTTGACTTTTCAAATGTCATTTAACAGCTGATTGTGTTGAAAAGACCTCACCAAAGAAAAAAATGGTGCGACATATTTAAGACAATGATCAAGGAGTGGCGTTTTAGGGCGACAAGCGTGCCATCATCTGGTTGCGTGTTATCACACACAAGGCTGTGATGTTGTTGGAGGTTGAGGTGGACATGCAAGCCTATGAAGCACAAGCTTTGTGGATTCTTTTGGTAAAGCATCGATCGTCACATCTTTTTCAGTTGAGATCCTGGAAATCTTTGTTAAACAGGAACCTGTGTTCAACAAACGTTTCTTATTTGAAATCTAATGAACAATCAACAATGTATGTGGAAAGGTCAATTCTAAAACTTGACTGTGGGAGTAGAAGTTTCATTGGAGACAATGCTGTCAAGCTTGTATGACCCATAGCTAAACAGATAAAATTTATGCTTCAATGACCTTAATGCTGCTAGAAAACAACTCTCTGAAACCCTACCATTTAGGCATATTCTCTCCCCTCCCCTGCCCCTTCCAGCTCTCAGCAATCCCCTCTGCTTCCACTGTGTTAACACCCATCATAAGTATTTGTATGAAAGTCCCTTTGCATAATTTAATTGGGGATCCACTACCAGATTTAGTGTACAGGAAACCAGCAGATCAGAAGTGTTGCATTCCAAGGATTTGCAGCAAGCAAAACAGGGTCCAATAGGGAGCACAGGGGAGAGGCTGAACTCAACATTAAACTAGCTTATCCACTAGGGTTCTAATTTTTGAAATGAGAAAAGTGAAATTTGCAAGGATTTATCCATGGATATATGGGTTTGTGTGAGTTTTGGGTACAACAGCGGAGTTCAACACAGTCATTTCTTCCAAGCATTAAGTTTTGCAATAATAACTGATGAATTGTGACGATATGCTTTCAATCTAACTCCTACTCCAAAAGAGTTCTGTTAAGTCATCCTCTGCAATGGAGTTTCGACCTGGAAAAATGGTCTAGGAAAAGGATCAGCAGCTTGGATGTTTGAGTTATTGCTTTTAGTGTGGTGCTGTGGAACTTGGGCTCTGTATCTAAGTTGGTCTTCTTTTTTGGGATTTGGTAGGGTCAGGAAGATTTTTAAATTAGCTCTAAAGGTAATTTAGAACACCCAATGGGCTAAGACGTGGTTCCAACTTGTGTTTTAACTTTTATTTGGAGATTTGAATAATTATAAATGTATGAATAGAATGCCAAAGGGAAGAAACAAACACTTTATGGTGATGCTAAAAAGTCAAGAAATAGCATTTCAGTGCATATTTCTTTGATGGCAGTGTCTTATCTCTTTTTAAGATATTGAAGCAAATAATGAAATTTACAAGGCATAGAATCATTGAATTGAGAGAAGGGAAGATGAAATAAATTCAAACTTTCCAATATCTGCTGTTTGATAGTAGTAATATAAAGAAAATTAACAAGGTAAGATAGGACTCTGTCTATTGTCTCTCTCTCACACACATATACGTGCTCAAGGATGATTTGGCTCTAAGCAGATCATAAATAACTGAACCACTGAACAATCAACAGGTGATGCCTATATTGTTCATCACCGACAGGCCCAAAAATCTGAGAAGCTAAGCATTCCCATGTACCTCAATTTTCAGGCCAATGAATGGCAGACACGATGGGCTCACACAGTTATACTCAAAATGACTGCTCACGCATGATCATTAACCAGAGAGTTCCTCTGCAACCATGCTTGACATCACAAAGCAATGCAACAGGTAATCCACTTATCTTTGTTGACTTTGTTTTGCCTAGCTACTTCCACTGATTAGTGCTAAATCTCCATCAATTGCCAGTGCTAATTAATGTGGGCAAACAGTTTCCTCAACACCCATCATTTAAATGTCATTAAAAACAATTTAATGAACTAATATGTCAGTACAGTATTCCAACCATTTGTCTATATAAAGATCTTACATTTTCTCTCTATGCCACTAACTCACACAAAGTACTCCACCATCTTCTCTTGGCCTATCTTCCTGATATGTAAGTAATTAATCATGTTTCTTCTGACTTATAAACTATATTCTCTGATATTTAATCAGACCACCTAGTTCTTGTGTATATATATAAGGGTGTTTGTTGTTTGACCCCAGAGGCCGGCTTTCTGTCAGGGGATCTTGGTTGGCTGATCCCAACTTGTTTAAGCTAAGGTTGGATTCAGGATTTCAGGGTAGGCAGTCACCAACCGGGCCAAGACTGAGACCCCATGGACTGGACCACCCAATGGTTTTCAGCTAATTGGGGTTCTTGCACTCCTCTCAAGTCTCAACCCCACTCACCGGTTCAGCTTTATTTAATTTCACAGCAGATCTAACTGGAACCCCATTTTTTCGTATGCTCAATATAATCAAGCTTTACCTATAAATGTTTTTCTTTGTCATATGTGCAACAGCAACAACATGAAGCTGTTAGCTCTTCTTCTTCTCATCCTATTGATGGTGAACCTGTGCGTTGCCGTGCAAAGGAAAGCTCTGATCAGTGAAGCAAATGGGCAGGAACAGCAACAAGAAAGAAAGAATCAAGTAGGAGGAAAGGATGATAAGAACAGCATTTCTGGGTACTACGGAAGCGGTATCAACAACCACCACAGTATACCTAGGCAAGATTTTAACAACTATGGCAACAGCCCTAGTAATGGAGATGAAGGTAATAACACGGGAAACAATGCGGATGATAGAGACTGATAAACGGACTTGTGCTAGCTCTTCTTTGATATGGGTATTGCTTGCATAAACATTATACGAGTTTGATTAGTGATGTTGTATTGTAAGATGTTAAGGACTGTAAGCAGATTATAAATAGTAATACATGTTATGAAGCAGAGCATATATGACTTACATTTCAATGGAGTCTGAGAAGGATCCAATAAACAAAGCAGTTGGAGCAAGGAAATCTACGTTTTCTCCTTTTCTCTCTTTAATACAAACAAAGCATATCCATATTAAGTCCATGGATTAAGAATTTGAACGATCTGCTTTCATATTCGTTTATCAAACGCGTGGAGATGAAGAAATGTTGGGGTCAGGTCTTAAATTGAGTTGAAGATGGACAAATCTGTGAAGGCACTTAGGTTGAAGTAGGGAGATACATTCAGGTGAGACGGAGAAGTTAGTTCGCAGAGCGGCAGTAAAGCACTCTGAGAAACGAATAAGTTCGGAAAGGCAAGAGTAGAGGAGATCTTCAAGTACAAAGCCTCGGTGGTGATTACACCATTGACTCCTGGCAAGAAGAAGGATTTTCCCGCTGCTAAAGGCGGGTGATGCATGCACCTTTTCTCGGAGGTGGCCAGCATGGTGCAAGAGTTTGGTCCCTTTGATCTCGAGGAGTAGTCAAAGAGCAAGGTGCCAAGACCATCATGCCTGTTGCAAGTGTTAGATAGTGTATGCCTGTTGCAAGTGTTAGATCAATGTTTGTGTCCCACACAATACAAGGATATCCAACTGGGCAGCAGTTTGGAGGATAAGTGAGTACATAGACTTAATGGGCCTAAAGCCCAAATTGAATTGGCTTAATGAGATTAATTAAAGAGGGGTGGTTCTAGGATTTAGATCAGCAGATAGGATAAGGTATTGTCCCTATTCACTCAGAGAGTCCAGATCCAAATAGAGATTTGGATTAGGAAACTCCTAATTAGATTAGGAGGGCTGATCTTTATCTGCAGATAAGATAAGGGATTATCCTTATCTCTTAAAGAGAGTCTAGATCCAAATATAAGATTTGAATTAGGAAACTCCTAATGGGATTAGGAGAACCTCTCTTTAAGGCTATAAATAGAGAAACAGGGTGAACCTATAGTTCATCCATCAGTCTACTGATTTAAGAGAGAGGACAACATAGAGTTTGACTGTTTCTGTCTTCTGCTCTTGCTCTCTCCTGCTATTGCCGCCATACCAGTTCGATCTCCACTGTGGGAGCGATCAATAAGGGTTCTTGGTATTACTTTTTCGCAGAAAAGGTAATCAGAAGTCGTGCTCATTGTCCCTCCATCAGATTCTTGCTGAAGAATCAGATTCTTGCTGAAGAGCCATCCTGCTGATTTTGCTTCATCCTGCACCGTGTCATCTTCGGTGGGAGCAGTCTTTAGATCTTTCCTTGGGCGTGAACACCTTCATTGGAGGTTATTGTTACTTTGTATTAGGTATAACCCTCCACTCCCTTTTGGTTTCAGATCTGGTTTGGCTTAGGTTCAAGACTGATCCTCGAAAATACAGTTTTCTAAAATAGGGAATGTGATTCCCATGTGGGAGAGAGAGAAATTTTTGAAATTTCGCCCAACCTTCCTACCAGGTTCGGCCATCCATATGATGGATCTCTCATCCCTTCAGCAGGCACTGAAGGCCAGATCTGTGTTGAGGACAGGACCCGCTTGTCCAAGGGTGGTACTTCTCCCTTTTTTTATATCTCATGTACAAATCGGTATGCCAAGCTTTCGTCGTTGTAATTTGTAAATAACATTTTGAATTGGATCAAGGACAAGTTTTTGTTTTTGGCATCTTTCTGTGCAATTTATATATATGCCCGTTGGACTGACGTCGTCCTCCGTCCCCCAATGATCAAGGACTTCTGTCGTCGGCAAGGATCATTTCGCAAGACCACTTCTGGTTGTGGTTGTTGAGGTGCTTTTGAGTTCTCAAAGTACAGAGGACTCGACTGTCGTTATGCTTGAAACTTATTACGATTTTCAATGCCCGAGTTCCTTCGTATCAGTTTTCCATCAAGGCCTTCTAATTTATACGAGCTTGGTCTGAGCACTCTAGTAATCTTGTATGGCCCTTCCCAGTTGGGTCCAAGCTATCCTTCACCGGGGTTCAGGTACGACGACCTTGCGAAGGATGAGGTCCCTGGTCTTAAACTCTCTTCGGTGAATCTTGGCGTCGTAATATTTGGCTATCTTTTGCTGATGTGCTGTCACCCGAACATGTGCACGGTCCTAGCTTCTTCCAAGAGGTTGAGCTCAATCCATAGATCGTCATTTTTGTTTCCTCATTGTAGTGCTCGGTTTGGAGTGTGGGGGACCCGATATCCATGGGATCACTGCCTCGGCTCCGAACGCCAAGTTGAATGGGGTCTCTAGTGGCAATTCTCGGCGTGGTTCAATAAACTGAGGGAATGCTTGACAACTCTTTGACTCCACTACTATTAGCCTAATCGAGCCTTGTCCTTAGGCCGTGCAACAAGGTGAGGTTGGTGTATCGATGTGTGTGATGATCTATCTCGAGTTCGACGCAGAAGGCTTTGAACTTTTTATCAACAAATTGTGAGCCTATGCTGGTAATGAGCACCTGAGGAATGCTGAAGAAGCAGATGGTGTTCCTCCACACAAAGCCTTGTGTGTTTTGAGCGGTGATGTGGGCTAAGGGCTTGGCGAAGGCTTTGAGGAACTTCTTCCGGTCAGCGGCATTGGGGAACACTTTGAGGATGTCCATGCCCCACTAGGTGAAGGACCTTGAACTAGGAATTGGTGTTAGTGGGACTGCTGTTTGATGGTGTAGATTGGATGTGAAGACTCGACAGTGATGATACCAAAATGTGTGCAATGAGGATTGTGACATCGGCGTCGAAGTCATTGAATTGGATGTTGCACTAGTATTTCGAAGCAGAATTTGCTTTAGGGCTGGTTAATGAGTACCCGGACAGTATGTATTTGAAATTAGGGTCTGAGCTTTCTTGTTGAGGTCCCGAGGTCTAGGGTGACCCTTTCTATGTTTGAGTATTGCATTTCCACGTCCACGAAGACATTGTTGGTGTAGTAGATTGGTTTCTGTACTGACGCGAAGGTTTGGGCACTAGGGTGGTCACTACAGATGCCTTCATGTATTTCCCTAAGGACATAATCGGCTTTGGTCGGAGGAAGGCACCTCAAGCATGGATGGTGATGATACAGAAATGCATGCAATGAGGAATGTGACATCGGCGTTGAAGCCACTAAACTGAATGTGAAGACGCAATGTTGATGATACCAAAATGCGTGCAATGAAGAATGCGACATTGATGTCGAAGTCACTAAGTTGGACGTGAAGTCTCGAGGGTGATGATACCAGAATGTGTGCTATGGGCAATTTAAGATCAGAGGCAAAGTCACTAAAATGGATGCGGCATTTAGTACTCTAAAGCAATATCTATTTCAAGGGCTGATTGGTGAGTACCCGAACGTTGTGTGTTTGAAAATAGGGCCTGAGCTTCCTTGCTGAGATCATGAAGCTAGGCGACAATTTCTACATTCGAATACCACGTTTATGCATTCACAAGGACCTTGCTGGTGTAGTAGATTGGTTTCTGTGCCAAAACATCCTTTTTCACTAGGCCCGAGCTGACCACCTCGTCATCGGCTGAGGGATAGAGAAAGAGTTGATCACCGAGATTTGTCTTCATTAGTAGGTGCCGCAAGCTTAGGTACTACTTCAACTCCTAGAATGACAATTCACACTCCTCGGTCCAATGAAAGTTCTTTACTTGCTTCAGGGATTTGAAGAAGGGGAAGTTGTGGTCCTCAGACTTTGACATGAATCTGTTGAGCGTGTCAATCCATCTTGTGAGTCGTTGCACTCCTTATATGTCCGCAATGACTACATTTCTATGATGGCTTGGATTTTTTCTAGATTTAATTTGATCCCTCTTTCCGTCACCATAAAACCCAAGAATTTTCCTGAGTTGACATTGAATGAACACTTTGTTTGGTTTAGTTACATCTTGTACTACCTATGGCTTTGTCCTGATGCCAAGTCGGGTGGGTGATCGGGAGTACTCGGTGGTGCTTTCGGCTCCAAGTGTGGAGTTCGACTGCTTTCCTCTAGCTATAGGTGTCGGGGACGTCGTTCCCGATATGGATGGCTAAGGTTGGGTCGTTGTTGAACCTCGATCATTAGAGGACGGTTGGGTCTTCGTGCGTGGTGTGGTATCTGGGCCTCGGCTGTTGGTGGTCGGCCAGGTTCTTGTGTGTGTGTGCAATTGTGGGGTGCTTGATTGGTACACTGAAGAGAAATCACCTTTCTTTATTATTCTAAATGCAAAGTACAGAGGGCTCGACTGTCATTACACTCGACACTGATTATTGGTAATACATTCTTAGATTATCCGTGTTACAGCTCCTCAGTATTGGTTTGTTGTTGAGGTCTTTTAATTTATACGTTCTTGGTTCGAGCACTCTAATAACCTTGTAAGATCCTTCCCACTTGCGTCCAAGCTTTCCCTCACCAGGTTCAAGTACGATGACCTTGCGAAGGATGAAGTCCCCTATCTTAAACTTTCTTCGGTAAATCCTGATGTCCTAGTACTTGGCTATCTTTTGTGGAAGCGTTGCCACCCAAACATGTGCTTAATATCGTGCTTCTTCCAAGATGTCAAGCTCATCCTGTTGGATCCACATTGTTTGTTTCCTCACAGAAGAGCTCATTTTAGAGTATGGGGTAACCGATCTTTGCGGGATCGCTGCCTCGGCTTTGAACGCCAGGCTGAACGGGGTCTCCGGTGGCTGTTCTCGGCATGGTTTGGTAAGCCCGAAGAATACTCGACAACTCTTCTACCCGCCTACCCTTGGCCTTATTGAGCCTTGTCTTTAGGTTGTGCAAGACGGTCTAGTGGGTTACCTCGGTTTGTTGGTTAATTTGGGGTCATAGTACCAATATCATGCGATGATCTATCTCGAGTTCGATGCAGGAGGTTTTGAACTTTTTATCCATGAACTACGAGCTGTTGTCAATAGTGAGTTCTCGAGGAATGCCGATGTTGTAGATGATTTTCTTCCATAGAAAGCCTTAAGCATTTTGAGTGTGATGTGTGCTAGGAGCTCAACCTCCACTCACTTGGTGAAGTAATCTACGGTGATAAGGTGGAACTTCTTCTGGCCGATGGTAATGGGCAAGGCTTCGAAGATGTCCATTTCACACTAGGCAAAGGGCCATAGAC